CCTCAGCAGCACCATAAAACAGAGTCCCACTCACTTAACAAACTAACCAGCCCACAACACTTAAACTTACGCGTCCCCTCGACCCCGCTTCTCCGCATAGGCGTTCTTAATCCGGGGTCTATTACATAGCAAGCAGACAATAGTTTAGGGAGAAAGAAAATGTTTGTGCAACATCGGTGAAATCAATACCATGTCATATGAAAAGGAATCCATAAACAAAAGACAGATTTCCACTCTTGAGAGATCTTTCAAATATAAAACCAGAGGTAAAGAAATAGTAGAGTTGATCTAAAATATAACGCCATTTACTCTATTGGAGGAAGAACGGTAGGAGACCAAGCGAATTACTGAAGAAAGACTACTGGGAGTGGAAATCTAGAATTGTGTTGGAAAAGCCTGCCAGCAAATCCATATAAAAATGACTACGTTGCTTATCTTGGGAATAAGAATTTTGATTCATCAGAAAGAAACCCTCAAAGAAGCTTGCCCATGTAGGGCAAGAGTCGCATACCATTAGCCATTATTAAGAGAAGGGATATGTGAGACTCACCTCAAGTTTGAAGAAATTTTTGAAGCTAGCTGTTAAGCCTGTAATGTACTAGAATAGGTTGGATAGTGCCATATTGCCAGAAATACTTGGCTCCTTTTGATCCTAAGCTATGAATTTGTGGTGGTCAAATGGTTTCAAAGGTGGACTTTCCTTTTTCTATGATAACATGGTCTCCTTTCTCTTGGTAAAGAAAAAATTACAAGAACCCTAGTCACCAAATAGGACGAACGATTCTAGCCAAGTAGATAGCTATTTTTAGCAAAGGTAAAAACTTTAATGAAACAGGTCTGCTCTAGAGTCCTAATGAATAATGATCATACCCTTTTTTTTCCAATACAATTAAGCATAGTATTCTCTCAACAACATCGTCTCTGGTATGAAAAAGTGCAATCCTAGTTCCCTGAATTGTATGCATATTCACTTAAAGACCACCATGCGCTATATAAGAGAAAAAGTCTCCACTCTTCAGCCTCTGCAAGCGTTAAATGATGATCCAGCACTTCAACAAGCATGGAATTAGCAGTAGCTTTAAGCTTTCTTCTCATTCACCGATAAAGGAAAGGGTTAAAGATCACAAAAAATACCCATCAAATGTARCCAAATGTACTAATTAAGTAGACTCGAACCCCCACTTACCCTTTATTTGAACTCGAAAAAGGAAAATGCAGCCAAATCAAGTATTATAAAGACTAAAACTATAAAACAGACATCATGGAAAGAAATAGCAAGTTCCCTAAAATCCTCAGCTTCACATGCAACAGTTATTGAAATTATAACATTGATGGGGCAAGAACAACAAAACAAACCTTATCAGGCGGCGAAGCCGATAACTGTTCCATATACGCCTTGCGTTCATCATCATTTTCTGGAGGTAAACTAGGAACGTTGAGCACAATATCGACGCAAAGATTTCCAAGAGTAGCAACATCTATATCCTTCGCATTCGCACTCCTGAATTTAGAAACGGGTACACACTCATTTCCATACCTGAGCGACGACGACGACGAGGAGCTCGCGAAATGCTTAGGCTCCGATATTTCAAGCTTTTTGCAGCAAAGGAAAAACTGAGTGGGACTTCGAGGAAGTGGCGGGAAAATTGGCTGATGAAGCCCAAAACTCCGGTGAAATCCTGGACGAGACGGAAGTCCAGTGAAGCAAGGGACTGTGGGTTCGAGAGAAACGGCGCTTCGCGGCATTCGGACGAGGGTTGAAGACGAAAATGGAGAGAACTAGCTTCTCGGTAAGTGGGTCTCACGCAGGAAGAACAGAAACCAGAGGAAATGGTGGGAATTTCAAGTTCTGCATATTGAGGGAGGAAATGGAATCGATGAAAACGATCTGGGAAATTGGTTCTTCGTGTTTATTCCTTCATGGGGTCCAATGGGCACTGCAGCTATTTCAAGTTGTAATCCGAAAGTGAAGGGTTCTTTGAGAATCTGATTGTCACCTCAATTCGTTCCTTTAATATTCAAAATTTGCTGATGAGCAATGGCAAGAACCAAACTAGGGGGCGCCTTGCCAAAGAAAAGATGATAAACAAAGGTAAAGGTAAGAGTTTTCATTTGGAATTTATTCCCTTTTTAAGAAATTTGTGTATGTGACTCTTGTCCGGCAAATTTGGATGAATAGGTATTTTAAAAAGACAGTATGGATAAATAATAATAAAACTCCATCAATCTTTCGTTCTCGTTTTTTCTAAAAAATTAATAAAAAGAAATAACTCTGATTCTCGCTCTCGATCAACTCTGGGTTCTCGTTCTCGATCAATTCTTGGTTCTCGCTCTCGATCAACTCTTCGTTCTCGCTCTCGCTCTCCTCTTCGTTCTCTCTCTCGATCACTATAACCAAAAGGTAAATCTCAAATACGAATGAAGGAATCTTTGTTCTCTATCCTTCGCTCTCAATTTAAAATGAAGGGCCTGTGAGAAGGTCTTCAAATTCTAGGTTTTACTTGAAATTTTCTAATTGACCACCAAAATTCGAACCAAAATGGTTCATATTCAGTGTGAGAAAATAGGCAAAAGCGAACACACATCTTCAAAGAACGCCCATCAAAGTAGAACAAAAAAAACTAGGAAAAGAAAATTTTGCTTTTCATCCAGTGTTGGACACTGAAGATTAAAACAAAAAGAACCACAACTACAAGATAAAAGAAGGGGAGAATGAGATGAGAATGGAGAAGAGAGAGAAATATTGGAGGAGATAGAGAATAAAAAGAAATTTTTGAGAAGGAGGAGATAGGGAGATAGAGAAGAGAGAGTGACTAAGAGAGAGGAGAGGGGTAAGCAAGTAATTTGGTATCCAAGGATGTCTAGAAAACATGGGTTTTCTAAGGAGTGATTAGAAATCAATACTATCTTTTTAAAATGCCTATTCATCCAAATTTTCCATCTTAGACATTTTTTTTTTATTCCTTTTCACTTTTGTCGTTTGTAAAAATACTAATTTGGTATAATAAATAAGGATAATAAATTCTTACTCACATGTCAAAGCGAGTCTAGCTTAGCGGTAATTAATATATATCTCCAAGTTATAATTTTGATCCTCACTCCCATATGTTTTACTCAAAAAAAAAATTATCACTAAAACAATCAACTCTTCACCAAACTATTAACTTTTCAAATTCTGAATACTCATGTTTTTCTTTTTGTTAGCAATTTCAAAACACAACTCACGTTTTTTATCACTTTCTCTCAAATTTCAGCCTCATCATTAGGCTGGGCCGCCCCGGCCCAAAGAAGTAATGGTCCAAGCTTGGCCCAGGCCCAAGCCCTACGGGCCTCAACTATTGTTTGAGCCAGGCTTGGGCCGATCCAACCATTCAAACCTAGACTCATAGCCCAATCCATGGGCCTAAGTTGATGAGCCAAAGTTGGATTGGGCTTGGATCGGCCCTTTGGATCAGGCTTAGATCGGCCCGTATATTAATATATTTTTAATTATTAAATTTTAAAATTTAAATAATTTCCAAACTAAGTTTTTTATTTTTAAATTCTAGAATATGTGTTTTTATATAATTTTGGTACATTTTTTTTTTGTTATTTTTATAATCTTACTAATAAATTTTATTATGTCATATTTTATAAATTCAAGTTGCCTTATTTTAAAAAATTATTTTTTTTATTTTTAAAAATTAAATTTATATCTTTTTACAAGACAAATTGAAAATTTAAACACTCTGAATTGGAACTTGAGAGGATTTGAGATTGAGAATTAGAATTAGAATTTTAGTGAAGAAAAAGAAAAGAAGGTTGATATTTATAAGAAAATTTTGTATTAAAAAATTTTAAAAATTACAACCTAATATTAGATATATTTAAAATAATTTTAAATTTTGAATTTGGGAAGTTGGAGAGTTTCCTCGTAATATGCTTCAAAAAATGAGATATTGGGAAGTGGTAGAGCCTCTTTCGTAATATGTACTTATTTACTAACAAAAGATCCTATAGCCTACCACATCTAATTTATTTTTTATAATAAATAAAAAAGAATATATTAATATTATATAATATAAATATTAATAAATATTTGATCGGGCTTTTGGGCCGGCTCTACGGGCCAATCCAAATACGGCTCAAACGGGCTGGCCCACGGGCCGGCCCAAATTAAAAAATGAATATCCATATCTAATCCAATTAATAAAAGGGTTGGATTGGGCTGGGCCGGTCAAACGTTGACCTTGGATCGGGCTTGGGCTGGGCCTAGGCCGGCCTTTAGGCCTCGCGCCCGATGATGAGGCTGACTCAAATTAGTCTTCACATTTTCAACATTGTCCAAGTTTCAGTCCAACGGTGATCTACATTTTCACAAGATATGTCCTACAATGTTTTTTATCTTTAAATATTTGATATTCTTTGAATCATTGCAATTTTTTCATACTAGAATTTCTTCCTCTCTTCCGCCCCATCTGGACTGGTCGTGAAGAAATCCTACTAAACGGTTTACTAAATTACTTCATCATGAGCAGGCTAGATGGACGCATTTAAAAATTTAAAGTGATGCATACCTAGTCTGGGATTAATATGAATCTTGTTTGCAAGATGCCTCATGTTTTTAATAATTTTCAATGGAGAATGGAAGGGCAATGAAAAGGATTATGTAGGTGGTCGTGCAAGTGGATTGACAATGGATACTGCAACCATATACGGACAATTTTTAAGTCACGTGTATATCATAATTAGATGTGTAAATAATTTTAAAATCAAAAGCTTGTGTGATGGAGATAACTGATGACAGCTACCTGAGTTGCTTTTTTATTGGTAAATATGTCTCCGGCCTACTCGTATACATATCCACTATGTCGAAGTAAGTGCATGGGAATGAAACATGCATTTCTTCTTTTCCATATAATATAGGTTAGTACATGCCCTCAATATTTTATATGCTCTCCTTTCCTACTTCTTCATCGCACCCCTCCTATAGTTATTTAGTTCATGTTATAGCATCACCAACACCGTTAAGTTCAAATGTTATTCCATGTATTTTGGGAGATGATATAGTTCGTGATTGATATAAGTTAGAAGAGTGGAAATGATAACGAAGAGTTTGATGATGAAAGTGATGAATCATATGACTCGTTCACAGAGGTAGAAAAAGGAGACTTAGATGTAGATGTAGATAAAGATGAATATGGAGAAAAATAAAAAGATGAAGATGAATATGGAGAAGAATAAAAAGATGAAGACGTGCACCTGATGAGGAGCCGGTAAACCATTAAATTAAGCATGATGAAAAAAGTGGAAAAGCAAGTGAACAAAATATTCCTATGACAAAGGTCGGGCAAATGGTATGCAATGGACATATCAGACTATCTGAGGTTGAGAAAATGCAAGTAATGGTCGGTGAGTGTTTTRATACTACTAATGACGTTAATGAATTTGATTCGAAGAAAGAGCTGATTATGAAAATGCATATACTTGCAATGAAACATAGTTTTTAGTTTCAAGTAAAAAAGTCGATGCTGAAACTATATATCTTGCAATGTATTGATCCTAGCCTACAAGTGGAGACTTCGAGCTACAAAAAGATGAGTGAATGCAATCTATTTAAGGTAAGAAAATACCCCAATGTCCATAATTGTTGTTTTGAACCTTTGAAACACGATCATAGGCAAGTCAAGAGTCGGGTTGTCGAAAATCTTGTACAATCGAAGTTCATGTTGAGTTTGTAAGGTGATTGCAAACAAGGTCCCACATTGGTTAGGGAAGGGAATGATCATGGGTATATAAGAGAGGATAATTATCTCCATTGGTATGAGACCTTTTGGGTGAAACCAAAAGCAAAGCCGTGAGGGCTATACCCAAAGCGGACAATATCATACCATCGTGGAGATACGAGGGGTACCGTTGTCCTTAACAATTCACTTATAAAACGTACTCTCGGCGTAGTCAAAACTTGGTTTTCATATCTGATCAACATCCCACCATTGGTAAGGTTATTAAAGTAGTATTTTATTTACATATAATTGCTTTTGTATTCATCATATTAAAATGAACGTGATGACAAAATTAAAAAAACGAAGCACTCGATGAATTATTCTTTAGGGTTGCGAAGGCATTTCGTGAGTCTACTTTTGAGTCAAATTGAGGCCAACTTGGTGTGTCCCATGTGTGAGGGAATATTTGGATGAAATTGGTAAAGAACGATGGACACGTTATTTCCAATGTGAATTGAGATACGCCCATATGACCACAAATATTGTCGAGTGCATGAATTCAATATTTAGACATGTGCATAAGTTGCCAGTCACAAATTTACTTGAGTATATTAGAAGTTTTTTACAAATGTGGTTTTATAAATGACTGATGTTTTTGGTAAAAGATAACAGCATAGACAGACTATGCGGGGCGACCCGTGAATGGTGGGCTGAACTGAGCAGGGCTCGGTCCCGACCCCTGCTCGGTGCCGAGCCCCGCCTTCTGTCTTTCGATGGTCGGCCAGACCTAGGGCTATGGTTTTTCTACATGCGGGCCCACGAAATCTGAAACCTAGGGTGAAAGATTACGAAACCCTAGGGGATTATTCAACTATAAATAAGGAGGGGGTCACCTCTCCAAGGGAAGCCAAGACTACACTTTCAAGTCTCTTACTTGTTTAAGTGATCTCTCATTTTGCTAACTTAGGCATCGGAGCCAGTGTGACTGAAGTCACACCGGGTTAGGGTTTTTGTTCCGTTTTGTAGGTATTCGGTCTTGAAGTATTCAAGTTGGTGTACGGAGTGGAAAGATCCGGTCTACCAAAATCCTAGCATCAACATTTGACGTCGTTTGTGGGGACGATACAGAGCACGTTCGAACAAGCAAACATGAATCCGGAAGAGAGCCTGCGACGTTCCGATGGCGACTGCCACCCGAGGAGGAGGTTGAACATGGACGACCCTCTAAGTGGAGGCGTTGATGCTGAGCTGAGTCGAGCTAATCAGGGGTGTCGAGAAGGCTTGCCAAAGGATCTATGGGCCGAGATGCAGGTGCAGTCCGAACACCGATTTGTTGTCCTGGAGGAGAAGGTCGAGGGGATGTACCAGCGCATGACCCAACTGCTTCAACAATTGAAACAGAGGAAGGCAAGCCTACCGCCACTCATCAGA